TAAGATAATTATTTTTAATTACATCATACTTTATGTTGGTCAGGAATTATTTTCTGGTAAGATAATATTGAAATGTTATTATATAAATATGTAACTTAAGTCCTAGCTCCTGATGCAATGTAAATCTTTGGAGGTCATGCCCTTGTATTTTGTTTCTTGGTAGTGTCCCAAAATCCTGAATGAATATGAATGAATGCTTTCTTCTATTGGGGTTCATCACTCAATATTTGCTGGTTGATAGATTACTGGAAATCTCCTTTTTAAAAAAAATATTTTATTTTATTTTATTAAGTATTATTATTATTTAATCTGACCAGAGAAAGAGAGAGGGAGAGAAGAAAAGTGAGAAAGCAAGCCCCCAGGTCTGGGACTTGAACCATGATTGGTTGTGTGGGAGTCTAGTGCCTTAATCACCATGCCACTTGCCAGCCCCAATTTCCTTGTCTTTAACAGAGAAGTGTGTGCCTTACACAGACTAGTATCTATTCAATGAAGGTTGGTTTATTTTCCAAGTTCAAAATTATTGATTGATATTGTGGAAAGAATAATAAATCTCTTGATTGCAACAGACAAAGGAGAAATTCCTGACCATTCATTAAAAGGTAAAGGAATTAAGGAATCAAATACTTTCCTACAATGAAAAAGAGATTCACGTCACTGTACCCGTTTCTATCCTTATCCATTACATATCCTGTCCTTGTGCCTATTCCTACATGTACTTCATTACTCAGTAGAGATTCTAAATCCGGTGTCTCTGAATTCTCATAAAGTCCAAGAATGAATTTTAGCAGGACTTAGAGCCCAATAAGATGTCATGCATAGAGAAAGGGAGGCTGCTATTTAACAATAAAAGCAGAGGCTTCAACCCAAGTTTATCTAGCTAAAAAAATCCTTGTCCTTCCAACTGTATCATGGTTTAGGGAATTCCTTAGGTTGTAGGGCAGATATCTCACTGGGCTACAAAAAGGGATGTTGTCTGGTTATTGTACTGGAATGTTCAAGATAAAGTTTGTAATAACAACCACCACAGCTGCAGCAGCAAAAGCTATAGCAAATATTTGAGATGTGCCAGGCACAATTCTAAATGCTTTACATATTTACCTCCTTTATACCTCACCACAAACCCGCTGGTGGTACTACAGCTAAAAATCTTTTATAGGTTAAAAGTCTGAAGAACAATAATGTTAAATTAGATCTGTAAGGCACAAGAACACTGAATACAGAGGTGGTGGGTCAAGGGAGTTGAGACATGGGAAGACAGACCAGGTAAAAGTTTTCTACATTGAATTCTGTTTCAAGCTATCTTGCATTCATTGCTGCCCTACATCCCATCCTATCCTTCTTTCTTGGCAAAGGGAAAAATATGTCTAAGGTCAGAAAATACAGAGCCAAACAATCCACTCCAGACCCTGACCTGACTGTGAAGAATCAGTCTAAGAATAAACCAGTCACATCGAGTTTGTGAAGATAATCACTTGCTTCCAGATCTCTTAGAAAATAAAAGGGTGTCAGAAGGAGACCTTTCCAAGCTTTGACATTCTTCACATCCTTAATATGCAAGCACATTTTAAATTACTTGTATGTGATGTCAGTGAGCAAGAGTGACTAGCACTGCAATGAACTTTGACAACATGTAGAATACAGTTAGCCTGTAGCTAGTGGGTTGTCAGTAGAAATCTCAATTTAAGTGGTTTTCACAGCAGATGTGGTATGTGCTCTGAATTGAAATAGTTCAAATATCTATATGGCTGCCAGGGTTTCAGGGAGCCCTACCCCACACATTCCAAGCCAGAATGAGCTGAAGCAATATTTGCACAGTGCTGTTTCTAGCCTCAAAATGGTTCCATTTCAAGTTAGATTGCAAGCAACCTATATTCTAGTAATATATTATTACTAATATATAGGTTCTAAATTCATTGTGACTTAAATGCATATGACTTTCTTGTGACTTAATTTTATTTTTCCACCTAAAAATGTGTGTGATAATATATGTAATTTAATATGTAACTAAAGATACAATTTTTTTTCTTTTTTTGGAGAGGTTTATGCTATAGGGTGCGTGTATTCACCAGAAAGACAGAGTCAGAGAGATAGAAAGCAAGAAATCACCCCCCAGGGAGGATGGTCATGCTGCAATCCCTTCTCCTCCATTCTCCTCTCAGGATTTTGAGCACACATGCACACATGCCCAGCGTGAGTTTAAGCCACAGGGTCCAGGACTTGAACCATGGTCGACTACATGGGAGTCCAGTGGCATAGCCTTTACGCCAACTGCTGATCCCATAATGATACAATTTTTTAAATAAGAGGATGTTTGGTAAAGTACTTAGACTATTGAAGATGAGGTTCTTACTAAAATTTAATAAAGAAATGGAAATATTATTTTGTTCTTACACAGATAAAAATAAAGTTTAAAAGCAGTATAACCTGGACACAGTTTTTAAAATAGTCTGAAAAACATGTACCCAAGAATTTCGATATTCTATTATTTACACTTTAGGAATTTGCTCTTAAGATGTAGTATAATAATGAAAACTCAGTCAGGTGTGAGAAGACCTGGGTATTGGTTTCTGCTTTGCTTCTTACCAATCCTGTGAATTTGGGCAGGTCATTGGGCTTCATGGTTTTCACTTGTAAAATGGAAATAGTAAACATAATTAACTGGAGTAACTCAAAGGATTGCTATGGAATTATCAGAAATAATAAAACGTAACATTATGGAAAGTTTGCCTTATAAGGGCCATGCTCTGAGTTAAGTGCTTTGTATATATTGCCTCATTCTGTCTTCACTCTGACACTAATTTCTATCCATTTTACAGTTGTGAAATCTGAGATTCAGAGAGGTATCTGAGAGGTTAATTTGCCTGACTTTACCATCAGAGGGAAGAACCAAGATTATAATGTTAACCAAAATAACCAAACTGTTCTTTTATAAAAGTAAAATGATCCACATATTAAGGTAATGTGTTTTTTTCTCCTCCTCCTACTCTTTCTTTAATACTCCTACCTCTTTTTTCTCTCTCCTCTTTTCTTTCCCTCTCCTTTTTCTCTCCCTCTCTTCTCTACCTGTCCTCTCCTCTCCCAATTAAGTTACAATTTTAGAGATTTTCTGTCACATAAACTTTAGTAGGGGTAGACTTCTATAAGAAACAAACCACAACTTGATTAAAACATTGATTGTGGTATAACCCATAGCCAGTGGTTTGACTATCTTATTATCTATTTATTTTTAAAGTTTATTTATTTCCTTCAGAGAGAGAGGTCAATCATCCACAACAGGGTCTAGATGCCATGATCTACTCCTGGCCCCAACCAGCTCCAGCTCATGGGCACACACATGCCCGACATATTCAGGGAGCTCTTCAGGTAAAGACTTGGAAGCTTTCTATGTGGGTCAGGCTCACAGAGCATTGGGTTTAATTGTTGTGCCACTGCCCTATCTCATTTGACTGTCTTTACCTGGAAATGCATCAAGTGTTTTCTGAGAATTTATTATAATATCCTGACAGTTCTAGCGGCAGAAACTCCACAAACAAGAACATCAGAAGCTGGCCCCATAGCATGGTGGTTAAAGAAGCCAGAGCCCATATGGACAACTGCAGTTCAAGTTCCTAGTAAGACATATACATTGTATATATATATATGACAAATAGATGATTGCATGTCATTAGTAAGAGACAAATGCTATTTGAAGGGAATTCAGAGAAAGGAATCAATTCCCAGAAAGGGATCTGGACTTCACACAATGTCCAGGAAAAAATAGTGCTTGCCTTTTTAAACCATCAGAATCACTGGGTATGTGATTATTCCGTGTCAGGGAGACAAGGAACAGAGTGAGCTAACTTGAGATGTGGGGCCTGAGAGCATTATTGTTTGCTTTGGCTTACAATGTGGTAACATCTCCCCCTTTTTTACATACTCACTTGAGAACTTAATTCCTTCAAGTTTCATCAAGGCAGAAGAGTATTCACTGTGCAAGGATGTACCTAGATGGCTAGAGGAGGGAAGCAAGGGGGATGGGAAGTGGCAGGGGGATGGGAATCCTCTCACATTTCACAGATGTTGAATTTAGTTTCCACCTGGTAACAGCCTAGGGGCAAGAGCTTAAAGATTCAAGTCAAAACAGACAGACTTACAGAGACAGCTAGCAGCATCCAGCAAGTGAATTATAAAAACTCAAAAAATCTTTCCAGTGGCTAAATAAATATCTTCGTTTGTATTTGCACTGCTCCCCCTCCCCCCCATTTGTTGACATTGGGCAAGAGCCATAGAATCTATCATTTTTTTCAAAGTTCTAGATTATGGAAAAGTATAATGTATGAAAATCAAATGTTATACATATATGGACTAAATTGTACTGTGACTCATTTCTAGTATACATGTGTTTAAATTTAAAAAAAATACTGGTGAGCAACAAGAGAGACTTTAAACTCTGAGTAACGAAAGTAGTAAGTGATACAACTTTTTTAAAAAAAATAAAACCAGACTTTCTTCAAGAATACTTTAGAAATACATTCAAAATACATAGAAAAACTCCATAGCATAGTACATGAATTTGCACAAACAGTTCAGAGCAGGGAAGAATCCAAACAAGTATTTTCACATAAGGCTACTCATGGATTTTTTTGCAGACTACATTTAAAACAACGACAAGATTCATTTCATTTCATTTTCCGGACTTACGCATCCTGAAAGCAAGAAAAAATATCCTTTCAAAAGTACAACAGATGTTATTTGTAAACAAGGCTAGGGAGGATGGAGAGTGAAGTGGGGCTGGGGGGCTGGGGACACAACTCTGTAGTTATAAGATTTTAGGAAAATGAATCTACACTAAGACAAATTTCGAGTTTTTTCTATACTACATAAGCAGTTTAGAATCTTAAACAGATACAAAAGGAATAAAGCAAATGAGGAGAAAGAAAGGCCGATAAAGTTTCTGGCTACAATACAAGAGACATATCATTACCATATGATCTAATGTGGGTGTCAGCCGGATTGTGTTCATTGAGGGAAACCTTACTTTTGAACTGTGCTATGGAGTAGAAGCAGGAGGTTTTCAACCTAGTGACACTCACAGAGCAGCACCTACCCCCTCCTCCTTTCCACACCTGCAAACTCTTTTGCTTGGGCTGAATATTTAGTGTAATTACATCTCAGCTTTGAGGGCTCCTGTGGCAAATTCCCGGATTAAAAGGTATGGTTTTCGATAATTGTCCTAAACTCTGCTACAGACTAATAAAACTTTGGTCAAGTTGGGAGCAAAAGAAATTATTTGGTGAGAAAAAGAACAGAAATTAAACATGCTGAACTTTAATCTTTATGCAACATTTTAAACAACTATTGCTTGAAAACAGAAGTTAAATATTTGATAAAATGATTGAATGCATTGCTTTAGTTCTGTCTGTTCTTGCAGAGATGTTGATTACAAAGCTGTAACATAACACCATCACTATCTATATTGCTGTTTTTGTATTTGTACTAACGGAATGTTTAGTTATTTTAGTGTTAACAGAAAAGTATTTTAAACTAGCATACTCTTTGTAATTGGATTATGTATTTAAGGATTTATTCCCCTCCTGAATTCTTGTCTACTTGAAGAACTTTTAAAAACTTCAGAGATGTGAACTCTGGTGATTAACTGCAGAAGTTAAATGTATATTTTTATAACCCCAGGAAATATTAGAAATGACCATCAGAGGGGTAAAAGTAAACATTGAAAATATTTATGCTATTGAAGAGCTAAGAGAGTCTTGCGGTGAGCAGCACACTTTCTACAACGTAAAGGAGTGTCCCTGTCAGTATTTTTAATGTAATAAAATTTCGTTCTAAGGTAGATTCAGTCTAAAATGAGGACGTGAGTTAATTTTCTTTCTAATTTTAAAACAGGACAACTTGATGACCAATGTCTAAGTGGGTTTTCAGGGCTATAAATATCTGTGGCTTTTCTTCCTCTTGCTGTTTTTGTCAGAAAAAAGGGTTACATCCCTCCTATGATAGTCCTTATGTATGGATAAGTGCTGCTTTATTGTTTATTTTTTAATTATTTCTGTTATTCCTGAAAGTTTTAATTCACCTAGTCCTAAGGATTTTACTCTGCATGTCTACAGTGCTCCTTGTCTCCTGAGAATTAAATTTCAACTTGGAAAGTCACAATAAAGGCATAAATGACACCACAGAAAGGTTGATTTAAATGATATATTAATAGTTAATGGCCCAAAGTAGTTTTAGAATCCCTAATTTTGTTTTGGGTAAAAAATTTATGAACTATGAGCAACTAGATGTATTGGAGTAGTTATACTAGCAATCAGGACCTAAGAAAGAATCATACATTTTTAGACTACTTGGTTTCAATAATATTTTTAAAATATATCCTCTCACTAGTAGTCTCCTTATTTATTTCATGGGTAACTGCTGTTTGATATTTAGTTTTATGATTTGTTAAGGAAAAAAGAAAAGGCTTAAAGAAATCATTAGTATCAATAGCTCATGTTAGTCGTTTTAACATACCGGAACTTCAAGTATCATAATACTAATCTAAAACATGTTGTTTTACAGAAGAATTTGCATAAAGTTCCTGGACATATTGTTATTCTTCCCCGGGACATTGAGGGTTAAAATGCACATACTCTCTCTCTCTCTCTCTCTCTCTCTCTCTCTCTCTCACACACACACACACACACATGCACACACACACAAATGAAAGTGATATAAAAATAAATAAAACTATAAGTTACTGTGGTTGTATTCAGCTTCAGTCAGAAAGAATAACGTGTGGAGAATTTGCACAATTTTAATAAGAGTAAAAAAATATAAATGAAAATACTATTCCTCTGAGCTAATGTTTAACTTTTTCTTTTCTGGGGGTTGTTAGGGACACAACCAGGAATTTTTGCTCTGTAAAAAAGATTACAAAGCAACATCTGCATTAACTCTTGTTGCTATTTATTAAATCTGCAATTACTTTGCTTCATTTTTCTTCTAAAATTGTAAGACCTTAAATATGCAAGGCTAGCAAACTTGTGGTATACCATAAACATTGTATTTTAATGTGAAACAGATAAAAAACCACTCCCTTAGATCCATGCCAAGTTAAGCCCTGCCAAAACAATAGTATCCTCTTAAAGGGAAACTCCTCACTGAGTAAAAACAGACTCCTGGAGAAAACCTGATACTGAACTTAAAGTAGCAGTGTGAATAATAACCTTTAGGGTATCTTTACAGTACAACCTCAGAAACCTATATTGTATGTGTGCTACCTTAGACATTCTTCAGCAGTAAATATAAACTAAGTACAAAATTCAAAAAATTGAAAAGCATGTTTTTTCTCTAGTGGATCTGGGCAAAAACTTCCAGAAGATACATTTGGGTTAGGGCTACAATTTTTTTTCCCTTTTCTTTCTTTCTTTCTTTTTTTTTTTCTCTTTTGCATAGACTAAAATTGGATAATGACTCAATACTTTGTTCTATTTATGACTGTACAGTTTTAATGTGAATTCTTATAAATGTACAATTCAAAGTAGAGATGGTAATAAGGGTAATACCTGCCATATGTTTGAGGAAAATTTAGAACAGTTTCAATGGGGTTTTAAAATAGTCATCTCAAAACTAGACTACTTATTCTGCCTATAATCAACAACTTTTATTATTCAGATTTATTAGGATTTTTGTTATTCAGATTTATTTAGTTCACTTCAGTCAACTTAACAAAGATGTATATGTCCATAGGTGCTTTTTAAATGAATGAATATCATATGTATTTGTCAAAACTGTACTTTTTTTTTTTTTTTTTTACAAAATAGCCCTATTGATAAAACCAGAAAACATATAAAACATATAAAAATCAGTTAGAATTTTCCATAGATTTTGATCTATTAAAAATAAAACTGTTTGGGAAAGTAGCCAATAGACACTTCTTTTTTAAAAATGAATCTTGCTTATACAAGTGGAGGTTTTCAATGATATAACTTTCTTATATCAATAATTTCTTGTAGTAGAAATTCTTATCCCAGGTTTAAGAAAGTTTGATATTGAAATAAGAGATAATTTTTATGTTTTAAGACAATGAGACTAATTGGTTGCTTGGAATAAATGAAATAATTTGCAATGTTAATAAATTGATGGTCAACTGAGTCATTTGTATGCAAAATGTTGTGCAAGGTCTGGGTACAGAAAAAGGAATAATAAGACACGCCCTGAAGGACAGACCAAGCACGCAAAACAAATTACAATAAAATGTGATAAGTTCTTTAAAAGAGGTAAGAGCAACGTGTTTCGGGAGCACAGAAGAGAGAAAGCAGCATCCCAGGTGGATGAGACAGGAGTAAAGAAGAGAAACCCATTATCTTCTTTATTCTTTACAGAGCTCTTACAAGGTAGGTATTCTCGGTGGAAAGTGGCTTTGAATGTCAGGGTTGAGGTTGGGAAGGAAATGGAGAAGTGGGAAGGAAATGGAGAGAAGATGAAATGTAATTTTTTGAAGATGCATTGGGCAACAGAATGGGACATAGCCTGAAGTGGGGAAAATAGTCAAGATTCAGGCAGAGAGATGTTGAAAAGTTGCAGTAGTACAGGGCGCGATGAGAGGGCTGGACCAAGAGGAATACAACAGGATGGAGAGATGAGATTGGTTTCCAGAGATATTTCTGAAGAAAGAATAGGAATATCTCATGGGTAAACAGAATTATATCTGACTTGGCATGACTTGTCGAACAAACACTGAAACGACTAATATGGCTTATCATAATTTTTCAAATGATGTGAACATTAGCATATTAATTCAGACCCAAGATGAACTAACTGATTTAAATAATATTCAAATTTCTTTTTTCTAAATAAATAGCCGTAACAGTGAGGTTACAATGTACCTTATTATCTTCCAAATGCATTTTGAATAATACTCTGCTTCCTAATAAGAAATTTAAAACATCTTTTAATGCTTTCTCTGTGCTCACTCTACTTTTGGGCATTATATAAAAAATGACACATGGCCTAGGCAGTGTTACTTTTCCTTAACCTTTTCACTTGTTTCCCAGGTTCCCTGGTTGTGAAAATATATGAGATAAATCATGAAGGCTACTATCATCTTTCTCCTGCTTGCACAAGTTACCTGGGCTGGACCGTTTGAACAGAGAGGCCTATTTGACTTCATGCTAGAAGATGAGGCTTCTGGGTTAGACCCAGGAGACCCTATTCTAGAGGTTCCCACAATTCTTCCTATGGGGCCAGTGTGTCCTTTCCGCTGTCAATGCCATCTTCGAGTTGTCCAGTGTTCTGATTTGGGTGAGTGGGATTCAAGCTTTCTATACCTTCTTTATTTTTTTTTTTCTTTTCTTTTCTTGGTTTAATTCATGGCAATGGATTATCTGAGAGTTTAGCATTTTCAGTTTTAATCCCTGCAATTCCAAATGTGAGAGACAGTGCCACCTAATGAGAAGTAAAGGAAGCAGAGGAGGAGAGAGAGAAAAGTAGCTTTGAGGTTAGGAGACTTTGTTTTTCCTTCTTATTTTGAAGTCAAGGCTTCATCACTTTGCAATTTTGGATACACCACTTCTAAAATTTTTCTGTGCTTCATGGCCCTCCTTCTGCAAAATAAAATTATGAGCGAAACAATGTCTTACATTCTATGATTCTGGAAGAATGGTTTGATTCCATAATTGCTTTCATGAGATCTTAGGTATTAAAAAAAAAAAAAAAAAAAAAACCCTGGATACTCTCTTTATACACTTGACAGTCCAGATAATAGAGTTTAAACATTGCTAAATAATAAAGTAGGCAGAGTCGTCAGAAGCAGGACAAGTAAAATTTTACAACAAAAACTTATCTTCCAAGTACCAGAGTCCTCCCTTCCTCTGTTTCTTCATTTCACCTTTATAGTTGGTATTTTGCAATCTAGCTGTTTATACTTGTTAGAAAATTTCAAAGGGAATATGTGTAAGCAAGGTATGGTACACATATTTGAGACAATCTTGGAGCACAGATCCTTAGGCTAAACCCTAGAGATAGTTTGATTTATTATCTTTTAAGAAAAATTTGGCCTGGAAAGTCCAAAAGCAATATACTTAGAAGATGAATCTCCAGAAAGCTGGAAGTCCCAGTGGATGGGCCAAAGGGGAATAATCTTAGTTTACATGGCAGCTGACTCACATTCCTTTTTCCTTTTGGTAAATTTTCTTATTGGAAAGGGAATTTGAAAAAAGATCCTCCTGATTCTGCTATGGTTTATTTCCTTACAGAAGAAATCCCATAGCCTAGTAAGGCCTTACTTTCAGAAACCCTATATTTAGTCAGAACACACTTTCTAGCATATCTTGTTAAAAAAGCAATGACAACAAAAAACTTGCCACTGACTTCTACAGTCAGAATAAATGACACTTAGGACTGCAGAAAACATAAAACATGTTTGATTGTAACATCTGAAAACCAAACACTGACATCATTTTTTCAATGCTGACATGTATAGACATAAAACCCCCAATAAACATTGTAATATAAAGGCTTTCAAAAGCCCACATGATGATTCCACTGGATTATTGCTACATATGTTGAATAAATATGCTTTGTACCCACTGTGAATGAGCACTGTCCTAGGCACTGGGGGAGAAGTATTGAGGAATACTAATAAGGTACCTGCTCTTGTGGCTCTTATATCCTAGTGGTGGTGCTATCTCCTATCAAATTGTATATGCACCACAAGGAAAACTGAATTACTATCAGACTTTCCAGAAACTTTTGACTTGTATTACTGTCTTGGGTGGGAAAGTAACAGAATGGTACAGTGATCAAAGCATTGGACTTCCATATGGTTGACCACAGTTCGAGTCCCAGATTTGGCAGCTTGAAACTCAGGTCAGACACATGTGCATGCATGCCCAAAATCCCAAGAGGAGAAAGGAGAAGGAATTGTGCCATGACCATCCTTCCTGGGGGTGCTTTCTTGCTTTCTGAGCACACAAACTATGTAGCAAAAAAAGAAAACAAAAAAATCTAAACAAAGAAATCACCATTTGATGAATACACTAGTGGTAGGTAAACTTCTGAAGTTACTAAAATAACCAGATTTTCAAGAAATGTGACTCAAGTTCAATTTCACTTTACTTCTGAGAACAATAAAGGATTTTTAAGGAAAGAAGAGTGGACCAGTCACTTTACTGAAGTTTTATTTTTCCATTAATACAGTCTTACATTATTCCCATGATAAATAATCTGTAAATCTTGACCCTAATGAAAGCACTGGGCCAGTCTTCTAATTCTTATCATGTGAAAGGGGAAAGTGTATTGCTCTAAATTAAACAGAAAAATGTAGTCTTAGGAACTGACTTGAGAGTCTCATGATACAGTTTTGTTGTCATTGTTCATGGATTGTTTTGTTTACTTTTGCATTGTTTTTAGATGAGAATGTTCTCCGCATGTCATCTTTTCTTCTAAAAGCCCAAAAAGTATGCATCATTCCTTCACATAAGTTTACTGACTCTTACACACTAAGGAAGTAGCTAAGTAATAATGATTTGTTTTTTGGGAACCATATTTAACTAAGAGAACTTAGTTATTTAACTTCCAGTGAATAATAGGTTTATCTAAAGTACCTGTAGATTTTATTAATTTGAAGATACACATTTAAATAAATTGTAAAATTTTTAATCAGCGATTTCTAGGACAGAACATACATTTCTTAAAAGGAAGAAAGGGCCAGTCATGGTGGTTAAAGAGGTTGGATCTCACATGGCTCATCCAGAGTTTAAGTTCTAGAGTAGGTGGCTTAAGAAACACCAGGTAAGCATGTGTGTTTGCCCAAAATCTCCAAATGGGGGAGAAATGGAGGTGTGATCACTCCCCTTGGAGTGGTGGTGCTTTCTAGCTTTCTTTCTCTGGCAAACGTATGTGTCCTCTGGCAAAAATAAATAAATAAATTAATTAATTAATTAATTAATTAAAGAATTTTAATTTATTTATTATTGTTATTATTATTTTTCACATGAGTTTTTCCAGAGATAGACAGAGAGAGAGAGAGAAAGCAAGCCGCCAGGTCTGGGACTCGAACCATGGTTGGCCATGTGTGAATTCCAGCACCTTAACCACCATTCCACCTGCTGCCCCCCCTCCCCCCTGGCAAAAATTTAATAAAACAAAAATAGGAAAAAAAATCCACTTGTCTTTTAAAGAAACAAACTGTATTCATTTCCCAGCTGCTATTTAACTCTCAGTCACTGATGATCTTGGCAAGTTTTGAGAATCTTGACATTTTAATTTGCAGAAAAATTAGTCTTAGGCATACCATTTTATGTGTGAACCATTTTCTGTGTTTCAATTTACAGCAGCAGCTCCATATAGCTTTTGATAACACAATTATATGGAGCAAAAGTTTAAAGAAAAATGAAAAGGAAGTAAGAAAGGAGAAACCGGCAACCTCATTTCTAGTAAAGTCAATGAGTTCATTTTATTCTTTTTGTTCTGTGTGGTCTGAGCATGAAGCTTGACTCTTCATTCTTTACTGTGAAGGAAAAATACAATGTGCTTTGGGACAGGAAATCGTCGTAATTATCTGTAGCCAGGGCTAATGTCGTCTTCAAGATTATCTTTGTCAGAGCTTCTGTTTATTTATTTAAGTTTATTTATTTATTTCTCTCAAGAGAAACAGAGAGACAGCAACTCAAACAGACCCTTGTTGCCATAATCCACCCCAGCCTCGGACAGCTCTCACTGACCACGGCACATGCATACCTTGTGTACTCAGAGAGTTCTCTGGACATGAACCCATGACCCTCCCATGTGGGTCAGCTTCACAGAGCATCATGCTTTACTGCCGTGTTATTTTCCAGCCCCTGCCAGGGCTTTTAATGAGAAGTGTGGAGCTACGGTATTGAAGAAATCTCTGAAGTTCTATTGTTATCTAATCAACATTTAGTATAAACATTTTCTTTATAAATTGTTGTGGGATGTGTGCGTTCACTAGAGAGAGACAGAGAGGGGTAAAGTGAAAAAAGCAGCTATGGGGGAATGCCCACGGCTCACTCAATTTCTCTTTCAGTTTCCTCTCAGGATTTTGGGCATGCAGATGTGCCTGGCATGTGTTTCAAACTGTCAGGTCTGGGATTGTGCAGTCAGCTATGTGAGATTCGGCTGCCTTAACCACCACGCCACCAGCTGGCTCAATTTTTAAGCAGTTCTTTCAAAGCTAAGAACTGAAAACTAAAAAATGGAGTACTTACTTGATGAGAAATCATGAGATTTTTTCTGTAAAGAGCACTGTTGTAGGACCAGTTATGACTTTTTAGAGTAGCAATATAATGTGATTTACTATAACATGGGGGACTAAGAAAATAAACATAAATTCTCCATAGACATGGGTCACTTGTTTTGCCAAATTTGTTGCAATTTAGCTTGAATTTGAATTGAAATCATATAAGAGCCATCTTATCTCTTTTCTTTATCATTTTAAGGCATAAGACAATTCTTTTTTTCCCACCAATGCTAGAAAGTGTACATCTGTGCAAAAAGGAGAGTGAGATTCTCCTTCCTCTCTCCAATGGGGCTTGGTCATGCTGCAATCCTTTCCCTCCATTCTTCATTCCTTCAGGATCCTGGGCATGCACAAGTGTGCCTGGCATGCTTTTCAAGCCAATGAGTCCTGGACTTGATCCCTGATTTGCCAGGGGACATTCAGCTTCCTTTGCATCATAACTAACCGCTACACTATGGGCCTGACGAAACAATTCACTGTTAATTACAACATTTATACAAAACAACAATGTAGAAAATAAGTGTAGGATTGCATACTTAGAAATCTATGGGTTACTTTTAAAACAAAAAGCCCAAAATGTTACTCATTCTTGTTAAATCTTTCAAAAAAATTCTTATACTTGATTGGACGCTCCATTTTATAGTCTCAATATTCTTTTTTTTTTTTTTTTGAGAGA